GTATTTGTTACAACCAGCGTATGGTTGTAAAGGAAAGAACAAACAAGTATTTAAATTCCAACAGTGTGTATTAGCCAATTTTCAGAATATATACATAATTGTGTGAAAAGGTAACAAAAATTGTTGATATGGAGCTGTTTAATTGCCGTTGGTAATGAACACGATTAAATGTAAGGGTGTGTTTGGTAAGGTCGGTTTAGGTAGCGGGTCGGGTGACCGAGGCCACGGTTAATGTTAGGAAAGAGGCCTGGAATAGATTAGTGAAGCTGCGTGGTACTCCGAGTGAAGTGTCGTTGGTTCATTCTTCTTCAATGAGGTGTGTGTGGATGGGCCGGTGGTCGTGCGATGGGACGAATTCCTGTTGTCGGTGAGACGGGCCATTTCTATATCTGTGGTTTAACAGTTGTTGTCTCCCTGGTTCATACTTTTTTCTTTGGCGGCAGCGTTCGTGATTGCCTATTGTATTTCAGTATTGTGGAGTGGATGTGATGCTCCAAGCCCCTGCACTGAAAACGACTTTTTTATTATTTTGGGGTTTTAATTGCTTAGCACTAACATCCGTCCGACATGTCTAACGAAATGTATTTGTGAATCAGAAAGAAATCTTCATTAAATTAGTATAACAAATTAGTTTTCTTAAAAAATAAGTGAAATTATATACATACATATGTGCGTGTATGTATCTATGTATGTATGTATGTGTGTGTGCGTCTGTGTATGTTTCAATGCTTTTGGCTTGATTTAGCAAACGAAAAATTTAAAGAGATACGACAACTGTCACAGATTTATTCATGTGAATTACAGGAGATAAATTATTATTCTTCATGTCTGTTTAAGGTGGAGAATGGCCTCTCTTAAAATCTGTATATATATATATATATATATATATATATATATATATATATTGTCATCCACAGACAGACTGTTTCGCTGTATCACAGCTCTCCAGTGTGACTAGACGCCAGATTACTTAAAGCTGGGATCGATTTGATATCAGTCAGAGATTCTACCCCTAGGCTATCGTCGCAGGGCAGAGAGAAAGGAAATTTTAACGTTTTCTTTGCGAAATATGTCAGTGGCCCGGAGAGATCAATTCAATTCGCTTGAAGAACAATGCGTTAATATATATATATATATATATATATATATATATATATATATATATATATATATATATATGCAAGTTTCATTAAAAAGGATTGTGGTTAAGTTATTTTTATAATTTTCATGTGTTCTTTTTTAGGGCATAAATTATATTAAAATTGTCCAAATGTTTTACATATGTATTGTATACAACACTTCTCTTCTACGGAGGTCTTGGTTGACGGGGTTAATTCCACAACGAAGCTGTATTCTCTCTCGGTCGTCTTCTCCCGTACGTGTGTCGAAATGTTTTGGGGTTCAGAGATAAAAGACTTCAGCAAAAGTGATTTTTAAATTTACCTATTTTATTAACCTATTTTATTTACCTATTTTATTAAAAACGTCAACATGAGAGGAGCAAATTCCCCGAGAGAGGAAATAACCACATCTGCTGTGTATGATGTGTAAAAATTAACTCCTCGAAAACACTTTCAATCTCTCTAATATTCCTACGTTCGGCTCAACCAATCAAAATCGACATCCCTATTTTGTCTACTATCTGACTTTTTTAAGGTCAGCCTCAAAATGTCTGAGCTAAACACACTGCCACTAAAAAATAATACTCTGAACCTTTTTTTTTTTTTTGCATATGCAAGCGCTTTCGGTTATACTTTTAGCCATTATCAAGGATGAATTAAATTTTAACTTTTAACTGAATGTGTTTTTTATGTATGTATCTATACTAAAACACGGTCAGCCCATCGTGGCCGTATTTATATTTGATATATTATGTTAGAAAAAAGTTTGAATCGTATTTCAAAAGATGGCGTTTGAACATGTCATTTTCACACGTGACTGAAATTTTTGACATATATACATATGCTGAAAAATAACATTTTAACGCTTCTTTCTATCGTGTGTGGATTGTGAATTTGAAATGTTTTTACGTTAAAAGTAAAAATGGAAGAAAATGAGATGCAATTCTTTCATTTGATGCTCTTTAATTTCCGGAAAGGAAAAAAGAAACGCTATATACAAATATGTGGGATGACCAAATGGTTAATACATTCGCTTTCCGGCCACGAGATCGGGTTCGAATATCATTATCATCATCATCATCAATATATATATATATATATATATATATATATATATATATATATTAGATCATTTGCCATAATATTAACGAGGCAGTAGTGAGAAGCTAGCAACGCTTCGCTTTGGGGAAAAGGGTAGCATTAGGGACAATAATCAATCACCCACTTGATAAGTGTATCAACGCCATGAATATAGAAAGTAGCCAAAAATGACACTCAAACACAATAAAAGTTAATAGCAATATGGAAGAGACACTGGGTGAGCTTAAAGGCCACATTCGTGCTACGCTCTGCCGTGGTGTGATATCAGGCGATGGTTATATAAAAAAGCCGCCATAATATATATATATATATATATATATATATATATATATATATATATATATATATATATATAATCAAGCAATCCCTCTTTTATGCAAGTTTCGTTGAAAACGACTGACAAAGTATATATTCGTATGATTTCTTTTCTTTTCAGTTCATAAATTATATAAAAATTGTTGGAAACTTTTCCAAGCGCTTTCGGCTATACTTTTAGCCATTATGAAGGATTTTATTTTACATTTAACTGAATATATGCATTGTTTTATGTATGTGTCTAGACTTATGGGAATATTTTATTTTCCAAACACGGTCACAAACAAACACACACACACACACACACACACACACACACACATATATATATATATATATATATATATATATATATATATATATTATATATATATATATATATATATATATATATATATATATATATATATATATATATATATATATATATATATATATATATATATATATATATATATATATTATATATATATATATATATATTATATATATATATATATATATATATATATATATATATATATATATTTTATATATATATATATATATATATATATATATATAAATTTCATTGAATACGACAGATAAGCTTTTGATTTAGTATTTTATAGAATTTCTCATGCGATCTAATAATTTTTTTCTTTTCAGATGATAAATTACATAATAACTGCCCGCATGTTTTTTTCCGAGCGCTTTCGTCTATACAATTAGCCTTTTTTGAAGGATAAAATATTTTAACTGTTAAATAAGAAATATTATATCGAGCTTTGCGATGGTCACTCCTGTAAGGGTACCTTTTCTTTATTAAAACACTTGAATACAGTTAAAAATAACTAATTCATATTGTAGATCAATTTATCAGTGCCGCATCGCCCTTGAACAGGATAAAGGTTCTTTTTCCCTTAATCCTAACAATTTAATTGAGTAAGCACAGAAAATTTGATTTAAATCGGAGTGATTTTTAATAAATATTTAAAACTGGTGTTAACGTTCTTTTGTTTTGTTTTTTTGCTTTCAATATCGAAAGTGCGCAAGCATTTTTGTGGTACATACGAAATATCCCACAGAGAAAATTTATAGATGCATTTGCTAATCATTTTCTCAAGGCGAAATTATAAAAAAAATTTTATTCGTCCCTTTTTGACATATCAGGGTTTGTATTGAAAATTTATTATTTGAGATTTAAAACTGTGTTCTTTAATACTTTTTTTTTTGTCTCCACCCTCATTATGACATGAAACAAATAACAGAAAGGCTTGTAGAACCCCTGGGCCTGACTTACAAAACTCACGTTGGGAAACTTAGCTCTATATGACAAGGTATTTTACAAAATGATCACGGTGATTTCTGTTGAGAGGGCAAGAATCCAGGCAGTTTTTTTTGCAGGTTATTTAAAGCTAGAAAATATTTTTAGATTGTAAGACTTTTTGGAAATAACAATGATTTATTGATACAAGTTCTACAGGAATCTATACAAGTTCCGACAGGAATTGAACCTGCATCCGACACGGAATCATCATTTAGCCTGTCGTGCTATACCATAGCTTGTGGAGAAGAGCTGGGTTCATAGCTTCCCCAAGGGCATGTCTACGTAATTGAATATAATAAACCCGAATGGAACTGGAACTTTGCTCTCCGATCTCCAGTTCCAAACCGTTATTCATTACACCACCCACACATCCAAGCTTAGAGCAACTGGTATTTCCAAGCGGTCACCCATCTAGGTATTAACCAGGCTTGACTTTCTTAACTTCAGTGTTCATACAAGAACAGATGTTTCAACTGTAAGCTATTATGTATCAAGAAAGTTTGCACTTAAACTGTCATACAATATAGAACAACTTTGTAAGTTGCCAAATAATTTGACATCTGAAGTCTATAGACTTCAGATGTCAAATTATTATGATTAGAAAATTATTATGATTAGAAAATAAGAACATTGAACTATTTATCGTGTTTTTATATGATTCACCAAGGTATGTGTTCTTGGGCGTATTCAGTAATTACCAAGGGAGATCTGTGCTTTGGGCCCAAAAAGTTATATTCTCGTTCCATAAAATATTCCTGTTATTATCCTTATCTTTGTTATTTTAGTTATTTCGCTTCACTCTGCAACCTTTGTCGGGTGTACGTTGTAACTAGTAACCTTTGAATGTAACATTTGTTTTTTTTTTAATCGTTTGGATCAGAAAATTGTCCTAATGTGGTCAGATTGATTGATCATTCATTCATTTCTATGGATTATCAACCTTTTTCAGAATATTTAAAACCATAAAATATTTCTTTTAGCTTGTAGGGTATTTTTTTGAGATAATAATTATTTAGTAATACAACTCTTACTAATTAACCCATAGCTAGGGGAGAAGAGCCAGATTCTTACTTTTCCCGAGGGTATTTTCGCGTAAGTGAATATAACGCACCCGGTGGGAATTGGAACTCGGCTCTCCAATTAACAATTCCGAGCTTACAGCATCTGGTATTCCCAAGCGGTCACCCATCGAGGTACTGACCAGGCTCGATGTTACTTAACTTTGGTGATCGGAACAGGTGTTTCAAGGAAATGTAGCCAGAGGCAGATAAAAAAAAATGCGTTACGTGTTAAACTATCTGATGCGATATTCCCGTTAGAAAGGCTGTAGAGTGTACTGGCGGAAACGATGAAGAAATTAGTTCATACAGTTTCGTAGCGTATTTTTTGTGTGATGCAAAATAACACAAACCGGAAAAAGATAAAAGAATTTGTATAGTTACGTGAAAAGAGAGATTTATTAAATAAAATACTGACAATTATCAGACAAGGCGAACGTACGAGGCGCTCTATGAAAAGCTCGTGGTTACTACAAACGTGAATCAGTCTGCGAGAGAAGTTTGATAAAGATTACGCTATGGAATGTGGCCAATATGGTTATTTACTTGCTTGGATTACTTTGGCACAAAAGTGCTGGAATGATAGATAAAGAAAAGGAACAATAGAGCCATAGAACGAGGGTAGATATATATAGAAGAAAGACCAGATGGACAGAGAGAGAGAGAGAGAGAGTTCAGATAAAAAATCCAAATCCAAAGAGACAGACAAATAGAAAGTGTAAAGCATAGAGAGAGAGAGAGAGAGAGAAAGAAATATAGAGAGATAGAAAGAGAGAGTTCAGATAGAAAAATACAAATCAAGAGACACAGAAAGATAAAAAGGATTAAAGCAGAACGAGAGAGAGAGAGAGAGAGAGAGAGAGAGAGAGAGAGAGAGATCTAAATAAAAAGAGAGAGAAAGAAAAAGAGAGTTCAGATAGAAAAATAAAAATCCAGAGAGAGAGAGTGAGAAGCAGAACGCCAGAAAGATCGATAGATAGATTTTTGGTCTAGAGCAGATAGATAAAGAAAATGAGAGACAGATAGAAACAAGGAGAGAAAGAGTGAGAGAGAGAGGCTGAAAACTGCAAGAGGCAGAAACAAAGGGAGAGGGAAAAAGAAAATGAGAGAAGTACGGAAGAAAAAGATAGAACGACACAGAAACTGGGAGAGAGAGAGAGAGAAAGAGAGAGAGAGAGAGAGTAAGAGAAGCAGAAAGAATGAGACAGAAACAGACGAAAAGCAAAAGAGGTAGAGAAAATCGAGAAGGGGTGAGACAGAGGCCGACGGAAAGAGAAAACGGGAGAGACAAACGAAAAGCGAGGATCGTAGAGACGGAGGAAAAAAGAATCACTGAGATAGACGAAGAGAGAGAAAACATCAAGGAAGAGAAGTGGGAGGAGAAAGACAGCGATAAATAGAATAAGTTATAGAGAGAATGCAACAAAGACAGAAAGAAAGACAGAAAGAAAGAAAGAAAGAAAGAAAGAAAGAAAGAAAGAAAGAGACTGAGAACAAGAAAGAAAGAGAAATATATTACCTTGCGACTACTTATTGTTTCTAAAATAATTAACTTAAAGTGCCAATATGTATTTGATGGTCCCCAATCTGCACTAAAGATGAAAAATATTCACATCTTACATTGCATCGAATGCGCTTATATTATTGGTCGGAGGCTGATACTGATTTTCGAGCTGTCCAAGTTGGAAGGCAAGATGATTAGCCTTGTGTACTCGTCCATCGAAGCTAAATATTCAAATTGTCGCCTTAATGATATTAATAATACACGGATACACCTGATTAAATAACAAAGTCCAATAATACAAATTTTATTTGCCAATTGTAAAATTTGACAAAAATTAGAGATTTAGTTTTGGGTAATCTGTATCGTCACTTGATTAAAGCAAACAACAACTAAGTCTGTTTTGTCAAGCAGGCAATGAAGAAACTCCCCGGCTCACTCCTATAGCAGACATCAGGATGTACTCTGACTTTATCCCTACTATGGCAGAATTGTTGCTTGATCCCATATTTATTTCTGTTGCAGACGAAGATTACAGTAATTGGGACCAGTGCTGCAAAACTTTAACTTGAATTATTAAACAAGTTAAAGCGCTCCCAAAGTTAATTATACAACGTAACTTTATTTGAAATCAGTGCCTTGTCTTCATTTTGTCCTCCACACATTTCTGTGATTATAATGCCCGACTACAGCAATGTTTTGTTTCTAGAGAATTTACATTGTCCTATTTTTGGTCTACCAACGTCAGCGAAAAGAATCTTGTTATTAAAGTCGTTAAGAACAAAAACGATGGCATTCAATTGCTGTTCATATATTATGGTAATGATAATATTAGCCGTTTCCTTATTAGAAAACGTGCGGCATTCATTGACCGAACAGCCAATTCTTCTGTCGGTTAAAATTTCTAAAATCCAAGAAAATAGGTTTCTCAGGAACAGTAACTGTAATCGTTTCCTGAGTATTCACTGGAGTTTCCTTTCTAACCTTTTGTTTGAAGTCGTGTGGAACGTCAATATCTTGATTATGTCATTGTTTTCTCTTCATCTTACATGTGATATCCATTTTAGCTGTTGAAAGTCCTTAAGTGATGCAGTTTTTTTGTTATCTGGTACAGTTCTTTGTGATTCTGTAGTGCCAGTTGACAAAGAAGAGCCTTCGCAAGATACACAGGCTTCATTCGCTCAAAATCTTTTTTAACAAATGATCTTAGAAGGGAGTTGTATACAGCTGGCAGTTTATATATTTCTGAACGGGTTTGGCACCATGCGTGGTAACCATATGAAAGTCTCGAGCTGACGAAGTTATTTAAGAAAATGACTAGTTTTCAGGTAAATATTTTGGTTTTGTAACATTCTTAGTGTTGGACGAAACTATCTCTAGCACAGCCTTTTCTATGTTCAATTCCTTATCTTCTATATTAAATTTGTTTTAACTGATCCATACACAAGGCAGGGTCTCATCATTTTACAGTTCAAACTACCTCTAATGCAGCCTATTCTAAGTTCAATTTCCTTATCTCCTATACTAAATTTGTTATAATTGATCCATACATCAAGGTAAAGTTTCATCATTTTACAGTTCAAACTACCTCTAGCACAGCCTATTCTATGTTCAATTCCTTATCTCCTATACTTAATCTGTTATAACTAATCCATACATCGAGATATATGAAATGTTTTGTATTTACTAAATCCACATCCAAAATTTTTATGATGGATTCAGGGTAGGATCTATTATTGTTTTAATTCCAATTCTTAGTTTCTTTTTTGGAAAGGTTGAGTCCTGTTTCTTTGAAAAAATAACAGAGGATGCTGATTTTTTGTTCAAGATTATTCTTATCCCATCTATAAATACCTATGTCATCAGCATAACCTCACCTCAGCATCAGTACATTGGCCTCGGAAGGGAAGACAGGATCACTGATTTCTATTAGTTGATTCGTTTGGGGTGTGTTATGGAACGCTTAAATGATCAGTGTCCATCTTTTCGTATCTATGCTTATAAATGCTCAGGACATAGTCTAGGAAAAGATTAAATAGACTTGGGATGTCATTTCCTATTGGAAAGAAGCCATGTCGTTTGTTTTGCTATGATAATTTCGAAGCTGTTCGTTGATTATATCATTCATAGTCATGATTACGACAAAATGCTCTGATCTTTCGTTTCTGCAATATTTAATGTAAAGTTGAATAATTTTTTAATTGGCATGATCTATAAAAGTGAATATAGATGAAACCCATTTGAGACATTGCATACTTTACTCATTCAAAACGGTTTTATTTGCAATGTCGGATTGTTACTGTATAACTTGAGTACGACACCGCATAATTGAGCCACCGGCCGCTAAACTAGTTCCCCTACCGGGCTTTTCTACTGAGGAAGGTGGCTAGACAGCCAACAGCATTAAAAAAGGAGGATGAACCAAAGGCCAAAGGCCGTCACGCACAATGGGGTAGACTGAATTTCATAGCTGTGTATAAAGCCAGTGCGGTGATGATATGACCTCGCTGGACGCAGGGCTTCCTCGACTGAGTTTTTCTGGTGGAATCATCAGCCATATGTCACTGACTAAGGTGATTCTTCAAGCTGGAGGACATAGGCTGTGATTTGTTCTCGAGGGTGATTAGTTCCGCCTGTTCTATTTGCTAAAGGCGCGCTACGCAAGAATGAATACGACCGTACGACCCCGCCCAATCATGAGACTGCTGCTGCTGCTGCTGCTGCTGCTGATGATGATGATGATGATGATGATGATGATGATGATGATGACGATGATGATGGAAATCCTTGATAAAATCCAAAGAAGAATCAGCAATATTATTGGCCCTGATCTGGCCTCTGGGCTTCAGTCACTTTCACACCACCATAAAGTTGCCTCCCTGTGCCTTTTCTATAAATACTTTCATGGTAATTGTTTTATATGAGATCTTCGGTATTTGACTATGAATTTAAGCGCAGTACTAGACTGGCCACGAGATCTCATCAGTACAGTTGATCTAGCTAGATGTAACTGTAAATTCTGTGCTAACAGTTTCTTTTCTTGCACCTTTCACTTGTGGAACACCCTTCCAACTCCATGCTTTCCAGCCAACTTTAATCTGCAAAAATTTAGATGCAATGTGTGCAACTATCTCCTATCCTCTTGATAACTCTTCTTTTTTTCTCTCTCCTTAGTAATATTTCTGTTTTCTAATCCCCCCCCCCAGTTTCCCCTCGTGTCTTAGTGGCTTTACTGTCTTTCTTGAGGTGAACACGCTTAAAAATATGAGGAAATGACAACAATGATAGATCGTATTTCAGTTGCAGAATCTTAATCTCAAAGATTCCCTTTGCTCTGGATAACTGACTTCAATCAACAATGAAGCTCTCTTAACCAAAAATAAAAAAAAAATCCTAAGCTCACTGCCAAGGAAATGACACAACAATTCAAGACAACTCATAAAATGATGATAATATACATATGAACTCAGCAAAATGTCAACATTTAGCAAATGGATTACACATGTTCTGATTAGTTCTTAAACAATCATGATCTGTTCGTTCTAAAGGACCGAACACACCATTGAACCATTTCTGGGGAGGATTATCATTAGTGATAAAAAGTGGGTCTTTTATAAATACAAATGCAATGTTTGCAACCTTAAGGTTTCTTTATGGTCGTAACGTAGTCGCAATGTAAAAGTGTAATGCTGAGTATTTGGTATCATATCTAACACAAATGACATTACAATGAAACAGTCATTTCTGAAATATATGGTCGTGAATTTGAAGCCACCAACCAGTCTACGTTAAAAATATGAGACTTGCTAATAGGTGTGTTACTCTTGCATAAAAACACAAGAAAGATGTTGCAAAACACATACACAAAAAGATTTTAACTACTTCTCCAACCTTATTACGTTAGATTATCGTCTCAAATCTTTATAGGATTTTCTGGATGGGAAATTGCACGCACCAATTATTAAGAGTTTTAACAAACAACCGACATAATCTTTGGTCCCTAGACCCAAATAATATTATACCCAAGGTATTTATAATTTACCTGCTCTATGGCATTATATCATCATAAACATGGAAAATATAGCTAAAGTTGAAGTTGTTTATTAAATATCTTGTTCTACCGAAGGATACTGAGAATATCATGGACTGAACATACGAGCACAGACGAAGTTTTATAGAAAATAGAAACAAAAAGGACATTTATGCTTAACTTCAGAAAGATATAGTTAAAATGACTAGGGCACATAATGGCTAAAGAGGACTTATAAAATTTGACACTCAGGGTAGATATTGAAGGCAAGAGGGACAAAAGGAAGCGGTGCATAACCTACCGAATGAGCTTGTGTAAACAATTGACAGAACAGAGATTTAAAGAGATAACGAAAAGATAAAACTTACTAAGAGCTAAAAGGGAGAGGAAATTGTCGAGAACCATGATCGCCCACGTAGTTAAGGGGCACAGCACATAGAATAATAATAATAATAATTAAGCGAATGGACGCCAAAACGAGAAAGCTTCTCACTTGCTATCGCATGCGTCATCCCAAAGCTGATGTTGATCGTCTGTATGTGCCCAGATCCGAAGGAGGCAGAGGATTAGTTCAACTAGAACTGTCCTACAAAACTATAACAATTGGCCTCCAAAGATATTTGGAAACTACAGAAGACTGGATGATGGTATGCGTCAAGGAACATGAAAGTAGTAAGCATCTTTACTCCGTAATGAAAGAAGCCGACAAATTCAAAATGGAGTTTCAAATGGGCGCAGAGATGGAACTACAGCACAATACACCGGCTGAAACTGCAAAATACCTAAAAAAGACAGCAAAGACGAATGCAACCGACCAGTTACAGAAGCGATGGCAAGATAAACCGCTTCATGGCCAATACTCTGCCCGTACCAAACAAGCTGACGTAGATAAAACCCGTACCCACCAGTGGCTACATACTGCAGGGTTGAAAGCGGAAACTGAAGGTTTTATCCTTGCTGCATAGGACCAATGCTTGCTAACTAGGAATTATCAAGCACATATACTAAAATATTGTGTCAGCCCAAAATGCAGATTCTGTGATAAATATCCAGAAACGATTGATCATCTTGTATCAGGTTGCACGATGTTGGCACCCACTGAATATAAAAAAGACATGACAGAGTGTGCCAATATCTGCACTGGAAAATCTGCAACTTCTACGGGAAGGAAACTGAAAGAAACTGGTATGAACACCACCCAGACCCGGTTACGGAGATAGGACCTGTTACAATTCTATGGGACTACACAATACACACTGACAGAACAATCAAGGCCAACCGCTCAGATATTGTTATTTAAGACCACAAACAAAAACGGTGCCTCCTTATAGATATGGCAGTCCCTGCTGACTGCAATGTATCTTTGAAGATATTCAAAAAGCTATCAAAATACAAGGACCTTGAAATAGAAATCTCGAAAATGTGGCATATGGGAACATCAACAATCCCTGTTGTAGTTGGAGCCCTATGACTGGTTGGAAAAGATTGCAGTAAACTAATTGAAGGGATTCCTGGAAGTCCATGCCTCAAGGAGATACAAAAATTGTTCTGACAAGTACAGCCCACCCAAACGCCAGAAATCAAAGAAAATAATAATAATAATAATAATAATAGTAATTGTTGTGGTAGGATCCACCTAATTTGCATAGTGGAGTACCGACCATATAAATATGGTTGGTACCGGGAAGAGAGGGAGGAATCAAGAGATTCAACCAGAGACTCTGCCCGACTGCGACTCAGTCAACACATTCTCCAGGAACGGTCTTACCAGGAATATACAAAAGACTATATGTAAATATTGTGTACACATTCTTGTTTCAATACATTTTGTTCTAAGTACATTTTGTGTTGCATTATTATTCCATGCAGTAGTCAAGTTTCAACAGTAATAATAATAATAATAATAATAATAATAATCCTTTCTAATCTAATATGTTCAGTGTTTGTGAGATAATCCTTTATATCCGGTGTGTTTGCCAAAGATGTGCAAATAAAATACAATACGGATCGTTATAACAATTACTGAATAAATATGTCCTCATCTCACGAGCATGCATAGCGCCCAACCCGTTCATAAATGTCTAAACTATTGGCTATACGAAACCATTTTCAGATCAATGATTAAAAATGACCATATAGAATGGCATGACAGGGTCAGAAACAATACACTTGAAGATTTCTAACAGCAATAACAACAAAAACGAGTAGCACATGTAACTAGATATAAAAAGAAGGATATAATCATAATCAAAAGGTTGACTTTTCACGCAACCTTAAGCAAAAAGGTTTAGAAGGAAACTTCTATCAATACTAGAAAAAAGATAAGTGTTAATGGACTTGAAAAGTCTAATTTCCCGAAAAACTGTTTTCAGAAAAAAAAAAAAAAATTCCAACCGGATGTACGGCAAACTGTTTGGTCAATGAATGGAGACTGTTTACTGCATAAAAAAACAGATAATTTCACCATTAAAATGATCATTGCGTATCAAGTAATAAAATCTGCAGTTTATAGTTTTTACAATGAGTAGGCTTCGTACCAATTTATAATTAGATAGATTCTCAAATAATAGTGATTTTCCAAGCGTAGCTGTGACACAAGGCCGAAAGTATGGGGCACCCAGTGAGGATCGAACTCACTATTCAGTCGTAATTGTTCTAGCGAGACAAGCTTGCTAACCATTACACCATCTCGGAGTATAATGATTCTCCGAGCATAGCTTAGATCTGGCACAAGGCCGAAAGCATGGAGCACCCAGTGAGGATCGAACTCACTATTCAGTCGTAATTGTTCTAGCGAGACAAGCTTGCTAACCATTACACCATCTCGGAGTATAGTGATTTTCCAAGCATAGCTTAGATGTGGCACAAAGCCAAAAATAGGTGGGGCACCCAGTGAAAATCGATCTCACTATTTAGTTGTCATTTTTCTAGCGAGACAAGCTTGCTAACCACTACACCACCTCGAGGTGCCCAACATATTGATTTTCTAAGCGTAGCTTAGATGTGGCACAAGGCCGAAAGTGTGGAGCACCCGGTGAGGATCGAACTCACTATTCAGAACCACATCTCCGTCGCTTAGAATGTCTTTTTCATCTGTGAAGAGTGTGCATTTATTGCCATAATGGAAGATATATAATTAAAAAACTTTTCTTTGTAATGGAATTTTTCCTATCTCATAATACCTTGCTTAGTTCCTGGAATGCATATTTTGACATAGCAACGCGCCTTCGAATGTCTCCCTCACATGTTGTGTTGTCTGTTACTGCACTAACCAGATTTCTGTACCTGTTTGAGATTTCGACGTCCCCAGTACGTAACTCACACCTTGGGCTGTCTCTTTCGTTGACGACGTGACATTCTGTCTTCTAACAATTCATTGTTAATTCTTTCTTCTCGCTTTCTTTTCCTACCTTTTCTTCTGATTTTGTCATCAACCCATTGTCATCTGCGTATCTTATGCTATTGAGATTATATCCGCCCATAATAAATCCTGACAGGTCTCTTAGGAGCATCTCGATGTATAGGTTAAATAAATCCGGTGATAAAATGCATTAGTGTCTTATTTCTCTTTCTATTTTGGTTGCATATCACGTGTTAAATGGAATGTTTTTATTTTCTTCTTTTGGACAAGTGTCTTTGACTCTTAAGTTTCTGCTTAATAAGATCCTGGTATAAAATCTCATCCTTCTCAGCCCATTTTTCTTATAATGTATCATAAAACTCTAAACCCAGTGTTAAGTGTCTTTCTTCCATCTTTTATTACGGATTTTATGCCATTTTTTTTTATCATTCCACCCTAAGCAAGGCAATAAAGCCACTAAAACGAAAGGGGTTACGGAATGTGAAAGAGAAAAAGAATATATACCGATCCATATAACAATTATTAAGGTGAGAAAAAATAATAAGGAGATCATTAAGGAGAGAAAAATAAATAAAAGAACAGAAATTGAGAAAACAAAAGATAACGATTGAAATTGCATTTAGATTTTTGAAGATTAAAGCAAGAAACCGGAAGAAAATTCTACACCTGAGAAGTGCGAGTGAAGAAACTGTTAGCATAGAACTTACGGTTACATCTAGTCAGGGCCGGCTCAAGATACTGGCATCTCGTGCAGTTGCCTGGGGCGCCATCATGGCCGAGAGCGTCATCATGCCGCCATGTAATGTGTTTGGAATATTCCAAAACTAAAACTTATAAAAACATACTCGTTGTCGTCCATGACTCAAGACAGAATTAGATTCTTTGGCCATTTTTGTCAATAGAAAATGATCTTGTAAAGCAGATGGGTGTAGAAAGGGCCATGAAAAGAATTTGCTAGAAAAACATGTTTTATGTAGGCAAATGAGTGTTGTATTAAGCTTGTATTAAGTTGTATGTCGTAACTCGTTATTCTACATTTTCAGTTCTTCTTGTGAGAATTAAAAAAAAAATTATACTTGTCAGAGCGCCGAAATTCAGCTTGCGCGGGGTGCCAGCAACCCGAGCCATGACAACTGTAAAATGATGAGACCTAACCACCAGTCTAGTAATTACTTGTACATGTATTTTTGCTGCACTCAATCAAGATCGGTTGAGCCGACACCATCAAGCGAATTTGCCGCATCCCGACTGAGAGCCGACCTAGCTCGGTTGTCGGTTGCAATTGAATCGGTAAGTTAATCAACGCCGGGTCCCGAACACGCATGGACTCAAGAACGGGTTTGACGTTAGTTTTAACCGCCCTAAGCCACGTTTTTAGCTGTCCACCGCGCTGCTTCCGCCAACATTGTGCGTATCCGGAGCAATTGTCTTAGGGATGAATTCACCTGGTGGTCGACGAAGAGCATGGCCAAACCTCCGAGGTCGCCTTGTGAGTAGAGCTTGTTGGAGAAAGCCAATTTTGCAGTGAGTGCGGACGGCGGTGTTCAAGATTAAGTTTTACCACCGGTCGCGGAGTATTCAGCGCTGGCAGAAGTGATCGAATACCTAGAACTTGTAAAGGTCCCCGGTTCTCACTTGCCACATCCCACAGCCGTAGAGAAGAATCATACTGACCAGAGCCTGATAGACCCGACCTTTCGTGCTGATTTTGATCTTGGATCTACACCACAGCCGAGTCCTAATCCGAAAAAAATGCAACACAGACAGCATCAATGCGGGCATCGATATCCTCCTTTCCTCAAATAATGGTGGTTATTACTGGGCTCAGGTACTTGAAGTGGTCGACTTCCTCTAGGGTTTCCCCGTCGAGAGTAACCGATAGATTCTCAGAAGACGTGGACCCAGCCAATTTGGGATGCAAATTTATTGATTGCCGATTGAACTTCAGCAAAGCTTTCCCTGTCGTCAGCATAATCAAGGTCGGTCAAAGTGAAATTGCCACCTACCACGACTCAAATCTAGTTTTCCTTTACATGCCGTGTCCCTTCAGGACGTAGGCGATCATGGCTCTCCACTTCCTCCTATCCCTTGTAGTTCTCAATAAGTTTTGTCTTTTTAGTATTTCTCCCAGACCCTGTTCTGTCATCCACTTGGTTAAACCCACTAGGTATGTCACACGTTTCCCTTGTCCCTCTTTCCCTCTATTCGCCTTGTGAGTATTAGATTTTCCAAGCTTTCCTTTATCCTTACGTGTTCCAGAAATTTCAGCTGTCCTGTGCATAAATTCGTAAAGTCTAGTTACCAAAGTGGTAAGAACAGAACAATTACCATGAAAATACTTTTAGAAAAGGCACAGGGAAGCTACGTTACGGCGGTAGGAAAGTGACTGAAGCCGAGATACCAAGTCAGGGCCACTTACATTGCAGATTCTGCTTTGTACTTTATCAAGAATGTTTAAATACAGAGCAGAAGTACCAAAATGTGGCAGCAATTTTCAAAGCAGGGAACAATGCTCGGCTTATAAGTGTGTGAGATAGCTTCTGTCTAACTTTCCTAGTTGTAGATCTAGCAGTTGATTCAATCTAATCCTTTCACTTCATATCAGTGGAATGAGTCACTTTCTAGGAGGTTAGCATCAGCCATACTGGTGGAAGTCAAAAAAGTTCTCCCAGACAATTAAAAGAGTTTTGTTTTTGTAGGCGTAATATTAACAAGCAATTTTTTGTCTCAGATTATAGATCATATTTCAGATCAGCTACCAATGAGATACAAATTTAATATATTCATATATTACATTAATTTTAGTTTGATATAATGATGTATTTTGCAACGGAACTATTTTCGTAGGAAAGGAAGACCCTCTGATGGATATCTGTGTTATATGCCTTTACTTACATAAATACATTTCAGGAAACAGTAACAAAACTTACCTGCACCACGGCTTATAAACCACAAAAAAAGAGTCCATTTTACTACGGAACCATAAATAGACAAATCTGTTTCATTATACAACATTATCTTCATATTAATTCACGTGCGATTTACAAGTATTGACGTATTCAGTACATTCATCACCATCTAGAAACTGTCTTGAGTTACTAATTCACTTTTAAGTTAACAACGAAATTTCTTGCAATATTTCATCAGATGCTTGATTAAGTACTGTATTTATCAAACTAAAAAATACAATTTGAAAATGCTATAATTAAGTATTTTGCAACAGAACGATTTTAGTCGAAAAGAAAGATACCTGCCTGAATATCTGTGCTACAAGTGTTATATATATATATATATATTTCATGAAGCAATGATGGTGTCAAACTAATTGAACCCACTAGCGCCACGGCTTATAAACCCTGGCAATAGAAAAGTGCATTTTACTATACAACCAGAAATCGTTGGATATATTTCCCCATGCAACATTATCTTCATATTAATTCCTATGCAGACTGAACTTATTAAGGATGGGAAGAACAACTGACGCCTTAGTATTGAAACGCATTCTTAAGATTTGGTTCCTCTCTTCTCTCATTTGTAAAACATCAGGGCACATCTGACAACAACTGTCTTATCAACAGGCTAATAAAACCATTACTTACATATTTATATTTCAGGTTGCAGTTAGGGTAGAACTAATGAAATACACGGCTTGTAAAACACTAGAAATAAACCAGTTCACAGTACAACCAGAATTATTCTATTCACTAGGGACCAGCGTTAGAGTCTCGCTCCACACCCCACCGAACCTTGATACGGGGACACCATCGGCACTGCATGTGGATTTCAAAGTTTCCTAACCTGGGGGACACAAACCCTCGAAGGAAAAATGGGGGGGTGTGTGTGTGCAGAGCTTTTTTAAAATTACCAAAAATCAGGAAATTATCCAATTTAAATAAAAATTTCAGTATATATTCGCTAATTATTTACTTTGATAATGAATAGTTTTTTTTTTTTTTATCTAAAAAATCTGAGAAAATGTTATTCTTTTTGTAATAACCACAAATATTTTCATGACTGAATTTTATTCGAAAAAAATGTTTAAGTCGCAAATTTTTCCATTTTCATAAAGAATAATCGCTGATGCATCTCAGCTGAAAAAAAAAGTTTTATAAAGATTACAACACAACATAAACGGGATTATCTTAAAAATTTGTTTCGGGAAAATTTTTCATCTGTTGAAATCTTTAAACGTTTTTATTTTTAAGTGACCATTTTCTCAGTTTTATTTTTCTGCAAATGTAAAAAATAGGAACTAGAACTTTTATTTGAATTACTAACCATGGAATTCTGTTTAGTATTACTATTAGTAAAAAAAAAAATAGAAATCCTCCTTAGTGAATAAGTTCGGAATAAAAAAAAATGATTTTACTGAGATATATTATTCTCTTAATTGATTTAAAAGAACTATTCAGAAAGAAAATTACAATTTAGAAAAATAACATGTTTAAAGACGTTTCCAAATTTGTTTTGATATTACTTGCTGTTATCATAAATCATATTACAATAATTACTGTTATTAGATGAATATCAGTTAATAAAAAAAATTGATGTTAAAATAGGCATAGATTCCTTTGCTTTCCGCGATATGTAAAAGAAGATTACAGAAATGACAATATCTAGAGACACAATGGCTCGTTAATCTAAAAAAATCAGTACTAATAAAATTATTAACTACAACAATTCATGAATTAAAATTATTTTCTGACTCCAAATACAACATCTAAAAAGATTAAATATTTTAAAGATTGTGGTTGATTTTGTTTAGTGGCATATTAACACCTCTATGGGTTATTTAATCCCTAAATCTCAATATTGAATATTTTGTACGCAGTTTTATCATTATTTTCAATTTTCAAATAATTTGCATTACTGCAGAAAGGAATTTTGCATAATTCTTGGTTGTATATTTTTCATTAATTTTCTATGGATATTTTGTACATAATTGTACGCCTTCACGGCAAACGTATGTTTTTTTAGATGCCGTATATATGTATGCTGTATCATGCGACTTTTGAAGACCTTATTTTGAAGTTAATCTTAAAGGGGTCGCATCATACAAGAGATACAAAATTAGCGCAAGTACTGCTGGCCCTGGCTACACCGTTGACCAAACTATATATCTATTTACTATAGTTAAATTAGCTTCAAAAGGGTTTGAAAGGTCGCATGATACGCGAGTATATACGGTATCTACATTTTAGATGATAAAATGTATTTTTGGCAATTTTAAAAAAAATGTATTGCTGGTAATTTCACTACAAAAATGTATTGTTGGTAATTTTTTTATAAAAATATATTGCTTGTAATTTTACTATAAAATGTAATTTATACTTTCCTAGTATTTAGATATTTGGTTGGGGGGGTCACTATTTGCTTATAGCTTAGATCCTAACAGATGATAACACCCTGGAACAGGGTGGACCTGGGAACAATAGCAACTAAGAGGTGATTCCGCGCTCCTAAAAAACTCCAGTGAGAGGCCTTGCTGCTGGGTGTAGTTTATCGTCATACACAGGAGTAAAATATTTAAAGGATACAGTATGAGAAAGTTTTAAATTCTACGGTAACATTTACAAAACTTAATAGATGTAGATGCAGTATTCATGAACAAAACCCGAAGTCGTATTGGGAGATTGAAAATGTCTTCCAAAAGTTGAGAAAAGTATTAAAAAACATGAAAGTTTTGTTAGAAACAAAGAAAGGAATACTGAACTGTTATATAATATCGGGCCTCCTATATGGCAGTGAATGCTGGACAATCTCCTCACAGATGAAGTAGAGACTTGAAGCAACAGAAAGGTGGCCCTATAGAAGGGTACTAATGGTACCATAGACGGCAACGGCGAAATATTTGAGAAAATCGAAACAAAAAGAACATTTTTACATCAGGAAGACAGGTTTAAATTTCTAGAGAACAAAATGAGGAAAGAGGGTTTAGCGAATAACCTATCTAAAGAGCTTGTGTAAGAGGTTGGAAGAACAGGGTTTAGGAGACATAACAAAAAGACAACATTTACTAAGAGCTACAAAGAACATGAAGTTATGGAGAGCCATAATCGCCCACGGCATATAGAAGATTCATAAATAAGCAAGAGAAATATGCACTAGAGAAAATTATTGAAAAATATGCAACAAGAATTATGCAAAATAACGCAAATTATTTGAAATATGAAAATATTGAAACGTAATTAGTAAAGTAAATCCTCTTGGGTCTGTCTATATTTCTGAGATGAGGTATTATGTACATTATTTACATTATTCGGACTATTGTCCTCATCTTTGTCGCCATATTTTCAACATGGCACAGTAGATAAAGGCGTTGGTTAGATCCAGTGACAGGACCCAAAGAGTGTGAGTTCAATACACGGTTAAGGCAGTGGAGAACTTTCAGATGGAAATTAACAGGAGATAACTGATAACTGACATCCATTAAACATGGCACGTGGAACTAGAACAGTCTACCCCGGTGAGCGAAATAAAGGGTTCAGTTCGATATTCCAAGCACCTGAAGAAGGCCAGAGCGTACAACGGCCGAAACGTTGTGATAAATATGGCGACAAAGATGCGGACAATAGTCCGAATAATGTAAATAATGTAAATCCTGTAGACTCTCCTTCTGGAGTATAGATTGATTGAATTGGGTTTTTTTTAGGGTTTATCAACCTTTTGAAGGTTATTTAAAGCCAGAAAATATTTTTAGATTGTAAGAATTTTAGCAGATAATAATGATTTGGTGATACAAGTCGTACTTATCAACCGATAACTGGAGGGTGAAAAGGTGGATTCATACCTTGCGCATGAATGAATATAACGAACACGGCTGGATATTTAGATAATACAAGTCACAGCAGTTATATATAAATTTTACCCTCTGTTACTGTGAGATAATCAACGTATTAGTTCAACAGCACAAAATTAACTGTAGAAATTTACACTATTTATAACGTTTGGACTGTTGTCCTTATCTTTATTGCCATATTCACGACGATTCCGGCCTTTTTCAGGATCTGCCAAGATTCCTGAGATGAAATATTGCAACAATTTACGCTATTTACATCGTTCAGACTGTTGTCCTCGTCTTTATTGGCATATTCGCGACGTTTCGGTCGTTGTACGCTCCGGCCTTCTTCAGGTGACATACGTTGGAATTCAGAACTGAATCCTTTATCTAGTCCGCGGGGGTAGATTGTTCTAATTCCACGTGCCATGCCTTTTCTGCATATCTCAGTTTCACTTATTTCCCTTTAGTAACGCAACTTTCCAACTTTTTGTTCACCTCTGCTGTGTACAGATATTGGACTCACAACTCACAACCGTGGACTAAATAAATGGTTCATTCGAAATTCCAACATATATCGCCTGAAGAAGGCCGGAGTGTATAATGGTGTAAGTAGTTACAATACTTCATCTCAGAAATATAGACTGATCCTGAAGAAAGGCGGGGCGTACAACGGCCGAAACGTTGTGAATATGGCAATAAAGATGACGACGTAAATAGTTTAAATAGTTACAATACCTCATCTCAGAAATATAGACAGCTGTTAACTGTAGACATGACGAAATGAGCAAAGTGGAAGTGATTGGTGAAGATTGATCTCCGACTCTTAGGTTTCTTACAGATTTCATCCCAATGTTGATGATTTGTGTTGACAGACCAAGAGAAGAGAGGACTTATATATATATATATATATATATTCACCAAGCGTAGTCTAGTCCGGTACAAACTAGTGATAGGGGTATGGCTTCCAAGACCAACATGCAAACTACGGTTTTATGGTCGACTCTTTCTGACTTCAGCTTGGCGCAGAGCCATCGTACGGAGTATGTGAATGGGTGCGTGTATAGATGTATGCGTAACGGTTATTGGCGTGAAAAGTGGTACTGGTGTATGGCGTTCAAATTCCACCCGAAGCCGCTGCGTTCACTCTCTCACTACTATCCCTGGGAAATGTATGAATGAATCTCTACACTCATCTTGGGGTTGATAGAAGGACAGGCAGCGTTCTCTATCTTTAGTTGGAAACCGTTCTAGAAGGATAGCTCTGAATTTAGAAAAAAACGTTTTGAATTTGCTGTTGTTTTTATACTCAAATACATCACAAGCCTCTCAATGTAGAGGGTTACTGACTAAAAGGATTTTGACTTGTCTGCTTGACCACAAATTAACTCCTTATGGGTCATTCAATGCCGAAATTTAATTTTCCTGTGAAAAAAGCAATAAAAATGTTATTCTGCTTTCACAATTGAATACATGGTAGATGATACTCAGATTTTGTACATGTACATGTTTGTGTGGATATAATGACTAGAGGCGGTGATATGTGTGTTTTAAGTTGTAGTTTTATTGAAGTTATATTAGGGAATACAGATTGATCTATGAAATTGTCGGATATTATATGGCTTAATGTCAAGAAGGAGTTCTTTCATGTTGATTGTTTGGTAGTATTTTGAACAGATTTGGGTGAAATCGCTAGAATATGTTATTATACGCGTATTGTTGGTAATTTTACCATAAATATGTTTTGTTGGTAAATTTTTTATATAAAAATGTACTGCTTGTGTTTTTATATAAAAATGTATTGCTGGTATTTTTATATAAAAATGTATTTTAATACGTTTTGTTTGGGGGGTTCACTATAGCTAAGAGACTAACAGGTGCTACCACTACAGGTCAGAAGGGACAGGGGACAAAAGCAATTAAGAGATGATTCAATGATCCTCTAGACCTCCAATCTCCTCATCAGAGTCATTGCTGCCGGATGTAGTTTAACCTGGCAAAATGGCTATAATGAATAAGGTGAGTGATATGTATACAAAAGGTGGTAGGAACTGAAAATTATGAAAATACATATTTTTTATTCAACTGTTTTCCTCCAATACGAGCCTCGAGAGCCATTCAAAGTAGAGTGTTACAAAGTCGCGTGTATGTGCATTTAAGTTCGACTTAGAATAACACAAGGCCAAAAGACGAGAGTGATATGTGTGTAAAGGAGGATTACCAATCCTGGATTGACATAAAAGCCACATTTCAAGTTGAGTGAATCTTTCAGTCTATAAATTGAACTATGAGCCAGCCAAACTCAATTTACCCAGATTCGAGCACTGTATTCCGATAATGCTGAGAAGGATGAAACTATCTTAACCATGAAGCAAGTTTATATTTGTTGCATGGACTAAAACTACTTGGCATGAATTCATTAGTGTACTAATTATAAACTGAACACGTGTGTACTGATTTTGGAACATTGGTCTAAGGAACACTAGTTTAAGGAATATTGGTCTAAGGAACATTGGTCTAAAAAATATCGGTCTAAGGAACGTTGGTTTAAGGAACATTGGTTTAAGGAACATTGGTTTAATGAACATTGGTCTAAGGAACATTGATCTAAGGAACATTGGTCAAAAGAATATTGGTCTAAGGGACATTGGTCTAAAGAATATTGGTCAAAGGAACATTGGTCTAAGGAATATTGCTATAAGGAACATTGGTCAAAAGAATATTGGTCTATGGAACATTGGTCTATAGAACATTGGTCTAAAGAATATTGGTTTAAGTGAAACCTGTCTAAGGATATTTGTCTCAGAAATACTCGTCTAAGGACATTAGTCTATGGAATACCCGTCTAAGAACCATTGGTCCATAATATTTTTCAATAAATTAACACTTACAAAAGACTCAATTTTATTGATATTCACTATATTACAGAATAATATTTAAGACAATTATAGCAACATTAATTACTTATGATCCATGTGGTTTGTAAGCATTTATTGGTATGCATCGTTCTTTGTATATTAATACTGAGAGTTTATTTTAATGAGAGATATTGTACGCAATGCCGCACAGATAATCTCCATAGAATTATGGTCTAATGTGGTTTGTTACTAGAGACTTAAGGTCAGAAATGGGTTCATGATATTTTCCACTGAGCATTTGTGCAAAACCTAAGATCGCACACATTTTACACACATAAAGCTGTTTGTAATGTTTGAGCTGTACTTGTGAGTACAATTTTTTGTATTTCTTTAAGAATATTGGTCTAAAGGAGACCTGTCTAAGGGCATTTGTCTAAGGAATGCTCATCTAAGAACATTGGTCTATGGAATACTCGTCTCAGGAGCAGTAGTCTATAATAATATTTTGTAATAAATTAACACTTTATTCATGTGAAAAATACTCAATTTTATCGATATTCACTATATTACAGAATTATATATGACACTTATAGCAACATTATGGTCTAATGTGGTTTGTTACTAACAGCACACATTAGACCATAATTCTCTAGACGAATATATCATAAAGCTATATTCCTTAGACCAGTGTTCCTTAGACGAATGTTCCTTAGACGTATGTTCTAGATTTCCGTGTGTACACCAATACGTTGTACAAATATACGCGTACACAACATCGTTTCTGTACCACGTTCTTTTATATTACAATGTGTGAGGTCGATATACCATCCGACGGTTAAAATCAGAAATGTGAGGTAGGAATTAGTTGTTTAACCGGCTTAAACCGGATATTCGACCTGGATCGTTGTGATAAAAGGCAATAATAATCCAAACTAAACTGAGCTCTGTAATCTAGAAAAATTACTTCGTCGCAAAATGTATGACTGGCCCTTCAACTATATGCCATATCCCTTTAGAACATTGGCAATCATGGCTCTCTGCAATTTCGTGTCATCTTTATAGTTCTTAGGTAATTCTATCTTTTCGTTATCTTTCCTAAAGCCTGTTCTGCCATCCATTTACTCAAACTCAGTAGGTAGGCTATACATTGTTTTCCTCTGTCCCTCTTGCCTTCAATATGTCCTGTGGGTATAAAATTTTCCAAACCCTTTCTTCATTACGTGCTCTAGAAGTTTCAACAGTCGCTTTTTGATAAGTATAAGCGTCCTTTTTTCCCATTTTCTCTGTAACTTCGTCGTTTATCACATGTTCAGTTCACGGTATTCTTAGCATCATTCTGTAGAACCATATTTCTGTTGCTAGAAATCTCTCTTCTCCATCTGCAAGGAGATTGTCCAGCATTCACTGCCATACTGGGTTAAAGTAAAAAGCACTAATAATCGTAATAATAAACATCAACAACTCAGATTTCGACGTCTCCATAACACAGATATTTTACAATGTTTTAACTAGCAGAGGATCATGTACTCTCTAAAATTTTGGTACAAGCAAAATTATTCGACATTTTTATGCATTCTAAATGAAAATAAAACAGTCGTCGTTTCCCGCATCTAGAGTGGCGAGGAAGAGACAGAAGAATGAATTTGAAGACTAACAAATAATATTGTTAGAGAGCGTAGTGTAGATGAACACAGTACTAAAAGTGCACAACATTGCCGAAAAAGAAAAATGATTGATTTTTTTTAAAAGGAGTAATCAAATCCAAAGATTCTGATTAAATAATTACAATTCAACAGGCAAATTTAAAACAAAATAGTCTAGGGATTAAAAGTTTTAAAAGAAATACCCCCAAAAGACACGAAGCGAAAGTAAAATAGAGGCAAAGCAAGTAGTGGTTGAGAAATTGGAAGGACTTAAGTTAAGAAGGAAAGAAAAATACAATGAAACGAACGAATTTATCAATAAGGCACAATAGGGAAGGAAGGAAGGAAGGAAGGAAAAGAAAGAAAGAAAGAAAGAAAGAAAGAAAGAAAGAAAGGAAAATTAAGACAAAAAAGAGACCTCAGTTGTGATTTACTATTTAATTTACACCTTTTTAAAACTTTTGACGGATTTTTTAAGGTCTTGAAAAATTTGAATAAGTGTTTTTTAGAGAAGGAAATGTACAAGGAAGTATATCCTTGTCTTCTCATGAATTTTTATTTTATTTTTTAAATAAGGGTAAAAAAAATAATGAACTGAATTGAAATTCAAATGTTGTTCTCGGTTTTAAATTGTTCAATTATTATTTAATATTTATTTATCTACAAACAGGTAAATCTCTCTAATTTTACTTTAGTGAGGGGAAATGAAATTCAATTCATTATTTTATTATTTTTTTTTTTTAGTCTATTACGGAAAATATTTTTATCGTAAACAAACCAATCCTATGATAATTTGTAATAACGTGATAAAAATGTTTCGAAAAGTATTAACAAATGAAGATATAAACAAAAAAAAGTGTGGTGGGTACACAACAGGGTTTGTGTTTAAATAAAAACGAACAAAACAAAATAAAAACTCAACGACACTAGGCATGAAAGGCGAAGTAAAAATTGGGTAAAATAAACTAAACAATAAAATATAAATTTAAAAAAAAAATACAAGCCGTAAATGTAATAGACGTTTGCCTTAAACAAGGGATTGTGTGTATTTTTAATTTATTTGATGTATAATAGGTTTTTCAAACGCTGCAGGTGGTGAAAGGAGATACTCAAGGTGAGGGTTACACCCCCCGGCATGAGATAGTCGCAGATTTGACATTAGTAAAAGCAATAGTATTGTGTATCACGTGAATTCTGTAGTAATAATACCCAACTCGTATTAAGGAAGTAATAAATAAAAGAAAGTTATGGTATTGTGTGCAATGCCAAAGAAATGATATTTCCCTTTTTTAATTTTTTTACACTCACTTACTACACACAGTTTGAATTTCACTTCTGGATAAAGTAAACGAAAAAGATACACTTTTTTTATTGTCTTATAATAATTAGGTTTTAAATTAACACTAAAACTGTAATAATGGTTTCAAAGCAAACAGTAAATCTTGTGCACTTGTTAAATTGACGCAGCACAGTCTTTTTCTAATATTAAGTTGTTTTTTCCTTCTTTTTTTTTGTTCTTGCGCCTTCACTACACGGTACTGTCATTTGCTGCTAGTGTATAAAACACGTTTAAATGGCAAACAAATTTATATAGATTTACACTACAGTGGAATCGTTGATTGGGGAGTTGTAAATTTACACACAAATGTCGGCACACGTTTTTACATTTACTATCCACTAAGAAAAATTTTACTATCCTCTAAGTTCTCAGGGGGAATATATATATATATATATATATATATATATATATATATATATATATATATATATATATATATATTACAGACGTAATTGTACTCATTATCTTTCCTTTAAAATGCAAATATAGTTAATAAAAGAAAAGCAGTCCAGTGTAACATACGCATGATGTATTCATTGTTAAAAATGTACATTACACAATAATTTTATAAACTAAAAATAATAGGCACGTGTCGTGTAACGCAGTCATGTTGACGTGTTAATAACTCTTTTTCTTAAATAAAAAACAAAACAAAACAATAACAACAAACAAACAAACCAAAAAATAGAAGTTGTTTCGCCAGGAAGAATTGGTAGACTATGTTATAATTTAAATCATCTATTCAATTAAATCTATATATACATTATTCATTTTAATTCCAGAGGCAAAATCGGGTGTATAACCAAGAAGAGTAGAGTTATAGATACGGCCCACGTTGGCTCCCATCCCTGCTAAAAATTTCCACCGTTGTATGAATGCACGTGATTAACATCAGAGTTTGTATTTATTATACACTACAGTCGGGTGTTTGTCGATGTTATTGTTGTATAATATTTCATGATTGCATGAACAAAATTGTACGTGGGTAATAATTTACGGCGTAAGTTTTTATGCAGACCGCATATTAATTTAATTAATAATGTCTGTTTCTTTTTTTTCTTTTCTTTTTTTTTTTTTGCGCAAATT